TCATGTGGACCTGCTCCCTGCCTTTCCCAGCACTGCCATTTGCTGCTGGTGTTTCACAAAAAGACTAAAAGCTCTTCAACGATGATAAGGACAAACGTTTTCAGACTGCTACCATCTTGCTAGGAGTGTCATTTAGTTGGAAGAAAGTTAAAATATTAGCTTTCTGTAGGAGTTGGGAGTCTGGCAAGGGTAGAAACCGCCAACAGCTGGCTGCATCAGTGTGGCTGGCGAGGTCCAGTTTGGTGTGTGTGGCTGGGATTTGGTGTGTTTAGCACAAATTAAACAACATACTTAACTTGGTAATGTTCAAAGGGTTGTGGGGAAATTTGCCATAATAAGCATAGACATGGAAGGGTTATTTCTGTCCCAGTGTTTCCCCACGCAAATGTGAACGTACGCTTTTTGGAGGTTCTAGTTTTTAACTCTGTCTCCTTAGATTTAACACTGAACTGATTTAGTAGCTAGAAATGGTGATCTACAGTCTCATCTACAGTCTCTCTGTGCTTTGAAAGATGTGGTGTTTGGTTTGTTGGTTGTTTTTTGGTTTTGTTTTTTTTTTTGTTGGGGTGTTCTTTAATGTAAATGTATGCCCTGGGGGGGATTTTGCAGCATACCTGTAGGCCTACGGAGGAAAGCTCTTATGTAAACAGCTACTGGGAGACTCCCTAATCCAGCTCCAATCCCCGCCTTAGGGGAAGCATCCGCTTTACTGCACATGCAGGATTGAATTAGAAATCCAGCCTGAGGTATCATCCTTCTTCTCTAAATACTACTCAGATACTGTTCAGTCTCACCTGAACAAAATACTTTGACATTTAAAAGCTTTTTATCCAAATATTTCTTACAAGCTTTTGTATTCTAGGAAGCAAACTGAAATTTTTCAGTTGCTCTAGTGGCTGGTGATGTATGATGATACAACAAAGTGCTGGATAGCTTATCTGTTAAAAATTACATGGTATCAACTAAACTTCTTGAATTTTTAAGTCTTTAAATTTAATTATCAGATCCTTGGAGCGCATGTGTAACAGTTGTGTTAAGCCTAATAGAGGATAGAATGTTGGTAGGGTCCTGTAACATAGAGGCTACAGAGATGTGGAGGTGTTTTTACTCTAAATTTCTCTACTTTATTACAGATTTCCACAAATAACACAAAAGTCACCACTAGCAACTATACCTGTGATAATGTAAATGTATATATGAATGAAAAAATATATATGTGTGTGTGTATATATATATATAAAGCTGTTATAAATAATTGGCAGCAATCAATAGTATGACAGCAACCAAGTAGGTGTATATTATTGCAGGTTACTACAAAGGTATCACTAGTGAAGCAAACTTAGCAGTAATACTGCAGCAGAAATAGTCCTGATAGATTATTTATTTGTGCATATATATGTATGTTCACAATAATACCGGTATCAAGCTTATTAGGCAAACCTTGGAAGGTGCTAGATCATCCCAGAAGTGGGAGGACAAACCAAGCCCTCCCTGGCAAGGGTCCAAGATCTCTTGGAAATTTCTGCAGCTAGCTCAACCTATTTAGGAAGGGAAAAGTATGTGCAGCATAGGAAGTTCTCAGAAACAGAAGCTTCATTTGGGATAAAAATGGTCATTTTTATTTCATAGAGGAATAAGGAGGTGTAGGACATCCACCACTTGAGTGGCCAATAGTTGCTGTTCGTTTCTGGTTTTCATCCAGAACAGCCAATAGCTATGGAAGTTTTCTGTCCTCTCAAGCCAATTTTTCTTTTTCCAGACAGTTTTCCTGTTCTTGCAGCTAGAACAATCAGCGCCATTTACCAATTCTTACTTTCTCAGGATGTTTTCCTCTTTTCCAGACTATTTTTTGCCTTTTCAGATGATAAATTGATGTTACAGTTCCTTGATTTTGTGCTTTTTAGTGATATCTCAGGATATCTCCAGTTTCTAGGTACCCAGCCATGTACTTCAGAGAGGTCAGCTATGTTTCTCAAGGATGCTTCTGCTTCCCAGCCTGAGTTCGCAGGCTGTGCTTCCCAGGCATTTTCTCTGTCAGGGTTTCAGCAGACATTTTTTTCTGTTAGTAGTTTTTCCCTTCTAACCAGGTCACTTTTATGGCTGCTCACATCACCTGCAAGTCCAGTTAAGACATGCACAGAGTCTCTTGTAATATTTTAATGTTTCTTGCTCAGCAGGACAGGGAGCAGTGATCGATATGCCTGGAGGGGTAGTTATGGAAGCTGATTAATCTTGGAGCTCGGTCCTGGGACCGTTTATGTTATACCATTTTGTGTGTATGTGGAGGAAGGAGGATGTTTGAATTTTGACTGTCTGAAGATGAAATACGAGGGGCACTGTGTTCTCATTGTCAAGGATGATACTCTTCTGTAAAGCTCAGTAGACATACCATGATGAAATGTTCTTACGGGTTCCTCTCCAAGGTCTATGACCTTTGCTCTTTGAAACCAACTTCTATCATTCTACAGGAGGAGCACTCAGGACTAGAGAAGTGTTCTCTGTAAGTTCAGATCGTGTTGGCCAAATTGTGAATTATTTCAGTGGAGAGAGTGAGGAAGAACACCGACCAACCCCCTCACCTCTGTGGTTTCTGTTGCTTAACAAACTTGATAGTATTTAACTAACCAAACATGGAGGTTTTACAATTCCAGACCACACTGCCACCAGAGGAGCAGCAAACGGGGGCCAGAGCACCCTTAGTGGGGTGGCTTTGAGTTGCAGTCATGCACCTGAAAGTTAGGAAATGCTGTGAAATGTGAAGCTGTGACAATCCTTAAGGATAAGATGCTGTATTTTTTGTTTTATAGTAGTTCTGCCTTGTTCATTGTGTACCCTTTAACTCTCCCTCTGTGCATAAAGAAGTTCTGCATCTCTGGCATTGCTTGTCCTTGTCGTGGCGAATGTTCTGGGGCTTTTGTCTTTAATAGAGCAAGTAGTCCAATCATAACAACTGGAGTTAAGGAAGCTGGAAGGTCTGAGTAAACTTCCAAGGGCATTGAGGTTAATTTACACTACTTGTGGTTTTCTTATGTACACACAATGCATAGTCACTTCCTCTTAAAAAAAAAAAAAATAGTGCTTAATGAAGAATTTTTTCCCTTTAATGGTCTTGAGAAGATAACATCCCTATCAGGCTTTGGATCTTTTCGTGCTCTCTTCATGATAGTGCACAAGCTCCAGTGTGTTTGGAGTGCAGTAGATGTTTCCTGTCAGCTATGTGCATGTTCTTGAGCAAGGCAAGCCCTTGAAAGTAGGGTAAGCTAATTTTAAACGTAGTTTCTTGTTGGGTTTAAAATTCCTTGTGGACAAATAATTAGAAACAGCTCCATGTATAGGCATGCCATTATGTCCATATCTTTCATTTATTTACAGGAGAGACAATACCTCCTGCAACAGTGAAAGTTCCCTACCCTACTCTTGGGAATAAATTTCAGTTCTAGTTGCTGGAGGATAATTTGGATTCTGTGCTCCAACTGTTTTTTCTGGGGTCACTGACAAAGCATCAGTGGGGAGATGACAGCACTCCTGTTTGATGGAGTTCAGTCTGTAGCCTCACAGTGGAAGCCATTATGTTGTCCTCTTGATTCCATTTTTTCCCTTGTCTCCTAATTCTGTGCTCTAAACTCCTTAGTGCTGCAGGAGTACAGATGATCTACCACCACCTAACTTGCACAGCAGATAAAATGATTTGAGATAGTGCACAAGAGCGTCCTGCAGAGCAGGGAGACTTCATCAGTTCTAAGTATTTGCACGAGGGCTTCAGTCTTTCTCAAAACACATAGTGATTTGAGTCAGGGAGATCCAGATAGCAGAATTATCTGATTATCAAAGATTTACAAGGCAATATGTGAGAAGAAACAGAAGAGGTTGCTGGAGAGTAGAACATTATATATGAATCTTATAAAATGATAGGGAGCCTAAACCTCTGTGTCTGTGTTGACAGTAGAGTTAGCAAGTGGTTTCTGTTGTAGTTTGCATTAAGCTTGGAATACAGCTGCTGTTCTACTATTTCTTGTCAGCATTGACCTTAAAAGCCAGCTGAGAGACCAAAATGTAGAGTAATGTTTTTGTTTAAGAAAAAAAATTAATAATTTTCTGTTTACCATGTCTCTTGTATAGCTGTCTGGGAAAGTTGGTCAGTGATGGTGACCCCCATTGTAACTCCAGAGTAAAATAAGGTAATGAAGAAGGATATTACCAGTGGCAAAAAAGCAAGGCTAATTAGCCACAAAAAAAAACCCTTATGCAAAGGTTATACCAGTTTCTCATGAAAAAAGTTATGAGAGTGTGTTTGTGTAAGTAAATATATGTATGAATATATGTGCTTGTATATATTTATATATAAATTGTTACATGAAAATTAGGGCACACTGTAACCTCAGAAAAGGGTAAGAATCTGAACTTACTTCCTTGTCTATGAACCCTCCTTAAAACTGTAAGATACTGAGGTCTGTAACAGGGTCATCTGACTTGTTGTAGAAGTGCAGGGGTGGCAGAAATCAATGGATAATTGATGGATAGAGGGCTCTACGGCATCATGTACCTTTACATGAATATATGGGTTTGGGGTTTTTCCTACTCTCATAGACATGTGGTAAGAAAGTAGATACTTTTTTTCTTGTGATGACCACTGGATTTAGCAACAGCCTTTCCTGCTGGTCGCTTCTTTGGGAAATGAGGGGTGCATCATGCTTTATTTAGATAAAGGTAGTTTGTACCAAGGGCTTATTTTTGAGATACTACATCTTGAAAAGAAAACTTTCAAAGTTGTTTTTCTCCTTCTGTTAGCAATTGTAACTAAACATTTTGTATGTGATACAGCTCTGTGCTTTTTGTGAAATCTTTCTATCCCTTGATTGCTTATTTTTTCTGGTGAATATATTTGGTATAGCACAGATTGAAAAAAAACGAACTACCTAATCTGTCATAATTAGGTTTTAATTTTGTTATACTTCAGGGTAACTAAATTTTATTTTTTTTTTTTCTCCCTTAATTAACAGAGGAGGAGCTGAGGAAGCTGAGAGAAGAAACAAATGCTGAAACATTAAGGCAGGAGCTAGAAAAGGAACGACAGCGGAGATTAGAACTGGAGCAAAAAGTCACTGAAGTACTTAAAGCAAGGTAAGAGAAATATCTTCACTGTAAAGCCAAAAGCCACTTGAGATCTCTGACTGCCTCTGAGGAGTTCTGGTGAAAGCATCAATTTCCAGCCTAGGCTCTCTTGAAATAAATTAGTCGTTCATAGAGAAGGTCTCTGTGTTCCTGTAAGAGCACATTTTGTACGGTCATGTACACCTGAATGACTTGACCACTCATACTACCCTACCTACAGACATGTCTTGACACTTGTCTAGTGATGTGCTTCATTTCACCTTCTCTGCTGCCCTGCTTCTGGGATCTCACCTGCCCAGAGCTGTCATCATGCACCATGTGCTGCTGAATGCCAAAGCCTTTGCCATACCTTTGCATGTGCTTTTTCTCTTCAAAAGCTTTGTCCTGTCCAGACTGCCTGATCCTTGGTACTCCTGTTCTAGCAGCAGCATGGACATCCCAGTACCACAGCACAAACCTAAATGTGTGGGAGTAACTGAGGTTTGAGCCTTCTTTGCCACTGTAATAACAAATGGAATCGTGCTTCTCTAAGTCCTTTCAGCCTTGATGATACCTACCTTGATGATGCAAAGCATCATGTTTGGTGTTGTCTCTCCTTAGTCTGCCTGGCTACATGGACTTTTTTAAGACAGCAGCAGCTGCTTGGTGGCCTTCTTGGTCTAGACCACTTGTATACATAGTTGACTGTGTTATCTTCCTCAGCAGTAGCTAAGATTGCTTGGCTGAGCAGTAGGATCTGTGTTCACCATCAACTCCTGTCATTGGGTGATAGTGCAGGCAGAGTTGATAATCGTGTTCATTAAGCACCTCCAGTTACTTAGAGATGACAGCAAGAACTAAGAGGCAAACCTTTTTGCTTGGGTCTGAGGTTTCCCAGTGCCATACAAACTCTTCCCAGTCTGCTGCTTCCTTCTGTACTTGTCCTGAGTATAAAAATGCCTTCCTGGTCAGGCCAGCAGTCTGTGTCCACTGGTATTCTGTAGCAATGGAAATAGCTGTTTGTACTAAATGGGAGCCTAGTTGCTTTCTGTGGTCTATTTACCTCCTACTCCTATGGAATCATAGAATCATTTAGGTTGGAAAGGAACTTTAAGATCATTAAGTCGGTCTGTAAACCTAATACTGCAAAGCTGACCACTAAACCATGTCCCAGTGTGCCATTTCTATACATCTCTTAAATACCTCCAGGAATGGTGAATCAAACACTTCCCTGGGCAGCCTGTTCCAATGCTTGACAAACCTTTTGGTGACGAAACTTTTTGTAATGTCCAATCTAAACCTCCCCTGGCACAACTCGAGGCTCTTTCCTCTTGCCTTGTTGCTTGTTGGTTGGAAAAAGTGACTGACACCCACCTCACCACAACCTTGTTTCAGGTAGCTGTAGAGAGCAAGGTCTCCCCTCAGCCATCTCTTCTCCAGGCTAGACAACCCCAATTCCCTCAGATGTTTCTCATAAGCATCCACAATACCCCACTATATTTAGGGGTGTCAGAAGGTGCATTACTGCCTTTTCACTTCAGTATCTGTTTGCAGACCTGTTAACCACAAATTTATTTAACCCCCTCTGGGCAGTGGTGGAGCTGTCTAGCAGTGGAAGCTGTGGACGCAATACATTACAGAAGTACACTCTTGACTCTAAAGAAGAGATTTATTTTCTTTCTTTTTTAACAGATTTCATAGTGGTTTCAAGAAATGCCCTTAGCTGCAGAATTCTGAGGTTTGGTGAATAACTGTTCAGTGTTCAGCTTATTTACCACCCTTCATCAGTCTTTTCCTCTCTTACTCTTCAGACTTCAGAGTTCCATTTTTTCCAGTGTTTCCTTAAGAGTCCTCCATCCCTTTCATCAATTCAGTTGCCACTCTTTACCTGTTTTGTCTCAGGCTGAAGAGGCTGAGCTTGTGCAGTACGCAGAGTGTGGGTTCGCCAGGGCTTTAGACAGGAGGTAAACGAGGCCTTCCTTCTTATCTTCAGTGCCCAGTACAGTGGGGTTTTTTTTAGCTGATGTTTCGCGCCGGTGGCTTCCCAAAATCACTGGTTCTGTTCAAGGCCGGGCAGTGCCCAGGCTTGGCCTGAGCTGCCCAGTTGTGTGCTTGGAAGGGGCTCTGCGAGGTCCCTGTGGAGGAGTCTTGTTCCCGAGCCGGGCCTGTGACCACGCAGCGGGACGGTGATCTGGACTGCTCTGGTCTGGGATTTTTGGGTGACATTTTACAGTTGCTCTTACAGCTGGGAAGTGGGAGTGCGTTTTTGTTGCCTGTGCTGGTTGGCCTGGCTGCATGCATATAAAACTTCAAATTTTTGTCTAGACTGATGTTGCCTGGTTGAGTGGGCTGCGGGGGAGAGAAGAAGAGGACGAAATTGTACCTGTCCCATGCTGTGAGAGTGTCCGTTAGCTTGATTAGAGCAGTACAGAGCAATAAATGTTGTTCTCTACTATTGGTAGATAAAACTGATGCTTCAGGATACCTTCTTGTTTGTGACTTGTTGCCTTGATGAAGTTGCTTGAGATGCAAATTCCACGTGCTTGTCTTTTGTGCTGGCATAGACAAGTTCCTGGTTTCCCCTCAGAGCAGGTAAGCCTGGGCTCTAGGCCACATGCAGAGAAGGGGGAGAGTGATCCCTTCATTGCTGGGAGTCTTGGAGAAGGATGAGGAGCCACCTTCCTCTGCAGGAAGGTACCCATCGTCCTGCACAATTTCAGTGATGAGGATGCCCTGGGGTGTGGTGTGCCCCACTGCAGCTTGTGACTACTTACATTTTATAGTGAAAAGAACTCGAAGGTGGTTGTTTATCAACATTAGTGTCAACATCTGTGCCTTGTTGGATTGTGGACAACAGCAAATCTCTAGCAAATGTGCCATTGCTAAATTAAGGTAGGATGACTTCACCTCAGTGCTGTGTTTCCATTTAGGTGTCCTAAGGATTACACTAACCCTGTTAGTGTGGGTATTGCGCTGGGGATCCCAATCAGCCAATTATCCCCTTTACTCTGTTGTGGTTTTTTTTTTCCTAACAGTCTTACTAATATTCCAGACTTCTCAGGACAGATGGGTATGTGTCAGATGACAACAAAATAACACTTTGAAAAGTTTCTACCCAGAAGAAAAATCTGGTTGCCTACATTTTTTCCTTAACTTGTACTCTGCTGTGTGAAATTCTTCTTCACTACTTTTTGTCGTTTGCACTTCACTGTAGACATTTTAAAACACTTTAATTAAGACTACAGGCAAAGTGATGGCTGACAGAATCAAATATGTGATAGGCCAAATTTACACCTGATGGAAACTTTATTAAGCAAAGTAACTGCAGAAGCTTACCAACAGATTGGCTCTGCTTCTCAATTAGGTAACTAATCATACAGTCTTTAAATAGATCTGCACATAAACATGTTTGTGTGTACTCTTCTTTTTGTGAACTGCTAATGAAAACCAGACTGTGCTGTGGTGTAAGAAGGAAGAAGTTATTTAAATAGTTGCAAGTATTCAGAAATATTTGTCAGGTAGATCAGTACATGTAGCTATATAAATGTGATACACAGTGTTCAGCAAGGAGAAAACACTGAGCTAACAATCTAGAGTTTTTATTTAGTTTTTAGTGAAGAGCAGGGACTTCTTTTGTTGAGGTGTGCACAGAGAGGAAGGAGGAGTTAAGAGGATTTTTACTGGTTTTGTCATGTTGTTCATTGTTTGTATATCTGAGAATTCAGAAACATGGTGGACTCAGCTGAAGTTTTCCATAGATGCACTTTGGGACATGCCAGAATCTGGAATGATGGCTGAAGCTTAAGACATTTTGCTTGTGCATTTTGCATAAATAATTCAGAATAGTCTGTGTGAGCAATGCTTGTTTAGTGCAAATAGTGGGGTGTTGTTGCTTTGCTTTACAAATGGTGAACTAGCTCCATCACAGAGGAAAAAAAAAAAGAAATTAATAAAGTTTTGCAGGATGACCTACCAGCAAGCTGAGACTTATGCAAACCTTTTTATTAGTATCATTGTCAGACATTAAGAGGAGCAAAGACACAATTCGTCTGCGTAAGGCACTGTTGTTGCTTCTTTGCTGCTTGTCTTGGTTAACTCTTCCTGGCCTCTTGTTAAATGATGTTGTCTTCCACACATGAGGTGTTTTGACCGTGGCTGACTTGGTCAGTTGAAAGAATGCCTGAGCTTGAGATTGCTTTGGAGGCTGGAAGCTTTCTCTCCTGGAAGAGAAGGAACCCTGCACAGATAGCAGGAACCTGAAACCTGAGTCAAAAGTTGCTCACCTGGCTGCTGGGCTTGCTGACATACCCACTTGGCTGAACTTCATGCATATATTTACTTTTAACTTAAAAGATTTGGTAAAAGGCTGCTTGTAAGTAGCTCCTATGAAAAAATTCTTCATTTTTTTTCTGCCCCTGAACGTTTAGATCCTGTACAAGTTTGGGTTGATGGCATTTCTTCAAACACGTTTTCTTTCGTTTCAAAACCTAGAAATTAGGGCACCAGCCATGTAAAATGGCTACAGTGGCAACTAATGTGGATGAAAAGGGCAAAGGTTTCTGAATCGTTTGGTGTATTTTAATGGGAAGGAGATGCAAAACATATGAAAATGGTTTAACTCAGTTTTATGACAGCTGCTCACTTTAAGCAGCCATGCATATATGAATGATATGTCTTCAAAGTAGGCTGTGAAAATACCACCTTTATGCTTACTTTTGCATTTCTGAGGTTGAATGGTTTCCACAACAGCCTTTGAAAGAATGATAATGGGAGGCTTATGAACATGAAGTTAGCCTGTATGAAAATTGCTTTTAATATGTCTTACAACATCGTGGCAGCAACTGGACCTGTTGTGTGCAGCAACTCTGATCTTCATGAATTTGTTGAGAGGAGTCTGTTGTTTCTCATGCATGTCAATTCACCATTGCATTCAAGGCCTAATATGCACAAACCAAAAATGTTTATTTAGGGTAAATGGTTTTCAGTGTCAAGGCTCCCTTAACTTTTGTGTCATAGGGCAGCATTTAGTGGACCTCAATGTTCCCCACAGAATGAGAGGCACCGAAGTGTGTGTGGTCCTTTTTGAATGGTACATGTGTACTAGTCGTGGACATCCATGCTTCCTTAACTTCAATATATTTAAGAAAAAAAACCCAACAGGGCACTTTTGTGTTTGTCTTCTCCATTGGCTGAGGTTGCTCTTATCACTTTTGGTCAGCCTGTGCTTTTGAATGGGTGCAGTTTGCATAAACACAACCTAGCCTCAAGGTCAAGGTCTGTTGGCACTGCCAATCACACCCTTTTTTTTGTTGGAGAGGGTGGTCCTGAAGGCCTGAACCTGGCTTGTTTTCTTTGGTGCAGGCTGTGGTTAGGAAGCCTGCATAAGAACACAGCCTTTTGCATTGTTCTAGGGACCACTGGCGTTTTCCAGCCTTTGAGCTGATCTGTGTCATGAAGAGTGGTTCAGAAACAGTAGGAAAGGTAATTCCTTCCCTCTGTCAGTGGTCTTGATGTACTGTCTGGTTCAACATGACCTGGTTTGGGGATCGAACCCCCCAGTGGGTGTGGAAGCCTAAACAATGAATTCTGAGCTTCCTGGACCAGATCTGTCTGAAGTGGCTAATTATAACCTGACTCACGGGTGCAGTAATGAGCTGTCCTTAACCTGGTGGTTGGTAAAGGTCAGGTCCTTCACAGGGAAGGAGTAATGGGCAGATGGCAAGTGAGACATTGCCAGAAGAAAAGGACACAGAAAAGCGCCAAGAAGGGCCAAAGCCAAACCATCATGTGCTGCTGATGGAGCCCAGTGAGGCTGCTATCCAGAACTGCTTCTTGATGAGATTCTTTGGATTTTTTCCCCAAGAAACATGGGGAGTAATGACACTGCGCTGCTTCTGAAAATATATCCCAGTGTGGCAGGGGAGGATCCAGCCTGACGGCTCTGACAGCTGGCAGTGGTGGGGTGCCATCTCAGCTTTGTCACTGGAACCATTCAGGTGTGACCTCCCCCAGTGGCTTTGCACGAGAGAGACTGGCTCCTGCCTGTGTGAGCCTGCCTGTGAATGACTACCCCCTTTCTGCCTAGATGTGCCTTCAGCTTCAATGAAACATGGTGGCAGTGACAGACTGCAGATGAAAATTCCCACCTCTGTGGTGTATCTGTCTCATGGGCTGATAGAGGAAAACAGGACACTGCTGTATAATAGTTTGTGCAAATTTGATCACTGTAATTGCTGTCTGTCTGTCTTTAGAGAGACAGAGCTGGAAATGGAGGAGATGCAATGGTGTGGGGGAAACAGCAGGGAAAGGAGGAGTTTTTAGATGAAGAACCCATGGTTTGTATAGAAGCGGGGCAAAAATGGCACAGAAACCAAAGGTAAAGTTTAGTTAGAAAAAATAGACTGGTGGAATTTCAAGAAGAGTGAAAACAAGTGGCTTTGAAAGCAGACTGATAGATGTCCAATTATAATTTATAAATCAGTTAATTGTTTCTAAATGTTCCTTTCAGAAATGATCAAGGATGTAGAAAGCTCATTATATATGGGGAATGCTTGGGGAGGAAGGAAGGAGGTAATTAGTTCTGTAGTTCCTCTGTCATTCTCACTGATGCGTGCTGACGCTGAGGCAGCACACATTAGTAATGGCCTTTTCTGTGTGCAGACAGTACAGTGAGATCTTT